AAAACGAAGCGTTTGAGAGAGGCGGGGCATAGAGGACCTATAATAATGTACAGTATTTGAAAAATAATGTGTTTTTTGAACATTAAAGCATGTCAACATATTCTGTTACACCAAATACACAAAATAATGATCTTTAAAATAGCATCATATGACCCCTTTATTTTTCTTAAAGATTTTCCTCAAACCTTGAATGCACAACTGAATCATAAATGTATTTTTCAATGTAAAAATTATATAGTAATATATAGATATAAACTATATAGAAATATAGTATAGTATATAGTACAATTATCATAAATGATTAATTAATAAATGTTTTGTTTTAGGGAAGTCATCCTACATAACATTTTACAACCTGAACTAATCTTGCCTTGTCATTAAAAAAAATCTAAGTATCTGATATTTAAAGAGACTTTAAATGTTTGTTTATATGCAACTTTGTCATATAATAAGCAATGATAATAATAAAGATGCCAAACTACGTAATCATGTTTTCTTTACAAGAATTTCATTCTTGTTATGAAACTTTTTTTCATTATTATGATATCAGCACACTTTCTTTATGCCTCCGCCCTCCAATAATATCAAAAGTATTTGAATGCTGAATTTTAAAACATGTTCATCATAAAAGAGATGTATTCAAGAATATGTATGAATTGCATTTTAATGTATTTCTGTACAGAAAATCGGATGTCACATCAGAAATCCAAATATTTCTAATTCCTTCATTTATTTTTAATTTCCTTTTTTCTATTTTACAGTGTTCAAACTCATAAAAATCATTGATTGAAACCCACTGTAGGTGCAGAGAGAGATGGAGGTGCACTTTAGCACCTTTATGTATTTGTATAGTGCCAAATTTACACTACAAAGGTGGCACAGAAGCGCTTCTCAAGTGGCATTTAGGCCCTAGGTGTTTTAACACAGACTATTTAATGCTGCTCAGAGGTGACTTAAATGCATTTACTCAGAAAGTAGCCTACAGCTGTATACTTGATACTGGGCTGAGGTGGGACTGAGCAGGCATAATTTAGTCTGGCTTTAATGCAGCATTGCGCATTTACGCTGGATTTTGTGCCTAGAGCAGCCTTAACTCAACTGTGGAAAGACGCCTTTAGGAGATACAGGTGTATATTCCATTTTAGTGACGTAGTCCGTGGCTCCAAATTCAAAGTCCCCATTTTTATCATTGTGAATGAAGTAACTCGCTATCAAAGGAATGTTGTTTGAACTGACCGCAAACTGACCTTGCCTGTGCAAGCCGATTATTTGGGAGAGGATAACCTGAGGAATTCCTGGTATTAACCTCCATTCTCTGTACTACATTTTCAAACAAACAGGCACAATCAAAACATCAGAGCCTAACCCCCCCTTAAGCTGAACACTGGCCCTTCATGTACGCCATTCCCATATTGACCAACTGTTGGTGTTGATTTATCTGTTTGCCTTTTGCGCAGTGTTCATTTTTCAATAGCTTTACCAATATTACCCAATCCACTTTTATAATGCGTTGTAGCTTAGTCTGACAGCAGTGATAGTGGGTGTGTGTCCTCAAGCTCAGACCTAATGGATTAATGTCTAACAGAGAATGCTGTGTTTTGACATGATCTATATATATACCAGTATCTTACCACAGCAAAATAAAGATTAGAGGTTAAATAAACTGTAAAATTTCTCCTGTTGGGTTGCTGCTCATGGTGAAAGATTCAATATCAATTTATTGATATCAACTTTTATATTCATATTCATTTAAAAAAGCAGCAAAAATATTTAGCTTTTTGTTCCTCAGTGTACCAGCTACAGCAGGAAACACCAAGACCAAAGAGGATCACATGTCCTCAGGAGGTAAGTACAGGAAAATGTGTGTAAACACTCCCAAGGTTTATCAAACACGACTCATATTGATTCAGTCTGCATATCTTTTACTAAACACTGGAGCAGATGTCTCCATGTTCACAAAATCCTGTTAGAAAAGACTCTCCCATCACCAGTAAGACAAAGTCATTTGTGTTGAAAACTGTATTTCTTTCTCATACCTTTTTCTCTGTAACATGCAGATGGAGAGCAGACCCAAATACTATGGAAGAGAGTGAGTGAACTTTATTAGTGGTGTTTTGGAAGCAAAGCATCAATACTACTATTCCTCATATTACTTATGGTATCCATCTGGTTACTTTTTACCCCATTCTTCAAAAATGTGTGTGAAATTTAGAGTGACTTAGCAGAATTTATTATTTAAGAGTGTTATGAGGGGTTGTGCATATTGATTTTGTGTAGTGATGTGCGTGAGGGTGCAAATATGAAATAGTGTATGAGGGAGAGAGAAAAAGACAGTGATTTATGGTGTGTCAATTGAGTGAGAGTGTGTGTGCATGTGAATATGTAAGCATGAGAGTCTCTGTTTGTGTGTGTGTGTATGTGTACCAGGGTAAATGATGGTGTCTGTGTACAGGTTTCATGGTCTGGTTTCCAGAGAGCGTGCAGATGAACTGCTGGCTGGTACAGAAGGTGCTTACCTCATTAGAGAGAGTCAGAGACAACCAGGAACATATACACTTGCTTTGAGGTACACACCATCTACAGGTGCATCTCAATAAATTAGAATGTTGTGGAAAAGTTCATTTATTTCAGTAATTCAACTCAAATTGTGAAACTCGTGTATTAAATAAATTCAATGCACACAGACTGAAGTAGTTTAAGCCTTTGGTTCTTTTAATCCTTTTCTCTGTATGTTCATCCAGCCATCCATACATCCATCCTCTTCTTTATATTGCAGTAGTTACTTTATATTTTACTTAATATTTTTACATTTCTTTATATTGTTACTATTCAAAAGTTTGGGGTCGCAAGGTTTTTTCACTCACCTAGACTGCATTTATTTGATCAAAAATATACTAAAAACAGTAACATTGTGAAATAGTTACAATTTAAATAATTATCTATTTTTATTTTAAAATGTAATTTATTCTGATCAAAGCTGAATTTTCAGCATCATTGCTTCAGTACTCTTCAGTGTCACATGATCCCTCAGAAATCATTTCAATATGTCAATTTGTTGCTCAAGAAATGTTTACTATTGTTATTACAGTTGAAAACAGTTGTGCTGCCCAATACTTTTGTGAAAACCATGATACATTTTTATTTAAGAATTTTTTTATGAACAGAATGTTCAAAAGAATAGCATTTATTTGAAATAGGAGTTTTTTGTAACAATGTCACTTTTGGCCATTTTAATACATCCATGCTGAATAAAAGTATTAATTTCTTTAAAAATCAATTATATTGACATTATATTGATATTAAATAATTATACATTGAATTATATAATAAAATATTATATTATATTATAAAATACTACTGTATATAAAATACTTTGTTTTACAATATACAGTAACATTATAATATAATAATTATAATATTATATAATACTGTATAATAGTATATGGTAATATAATATGAATACTGTTTGTCTGTCACTCAGATTTGGTGGCCAGACTCTGAACTACCGACTCTTTTATGATGGAAAGCACTTTGTGGGAGAGAAACGTTTCGAGTCAGTTCACGATCTGGTTACAGACGGCCTCATTACTCTCTATATTGAGACAAAGGCAGCAGAATACATCGCCAAGATGACCACAAACCCCATCTATCAGCATCTGGGCTACACCTCTCTCCTGAGGGACAAAATCACTCATCGACTCAACCGGACCCACTCTGAGCCCAAAAAAGTTACTTTCCAGCAGGATGAAAAGGTGAGGGGCATACCTCTTCATAAATTATATATATTCATATCATAATGTTCTTTGTACACATTGTTGTACACGAACACGTATGTACACTTTACTAAAGTTACAGCCTACAGTGTGAGCAATGTATGATCAAAGCCTTAAAGATATAATATACTGCATAATCAACAGACATTGTAATCAAACCATGGTCACTTATGGCAAATAATGGTGATAAAATAATTTGTTGCAGTTTTTGTTGAAATCAGTAAAAAAATGTTTTTTTGTCGTATTCCTCTTGTTAAGTCCCACAGGGCTACGTTTTAGGACCTTTGTTGTTTTTCATTGTATATTTTGTAGGCTTAACAGGAAACTTGGGATACATTTGGTTGTTTTTGGCATTATTGCTAATTTCAGCACTCTGACTAACTAACAGTAATGCTGTAAATTCTGTTTTAGTTCCTTTATTTGGGCCATATTTGGTATTTGAGGTTATATTTACTGCAGAATTCAATGAGATAGTTCATCTTAAATTCTCATTTCTGTCTCTATTCGCACAGTGAAAACAGGACATTGGACCACTGGCACTGCTTCATTATGTGCCCATAAATGTTATCAAGGTTTTATTGCTAATATTAAACACAACCAACCCAAATCATGGTGTCAGACACCGTCCTTTCACAAATCATTATTAGAATGGTGTTTAGACAAATAAGATGGAGCATTTCTTTGCGTGCATTTGGAAGATTAGAAGAGTGTGAGAGTGTTTCAGCGTCATGGTGTGTGTCTTTGATGAAAGATAATGCCATGAATGTGTTGTCTCCTCCTCTCTCATTTATCAGACGCACTGTCTGGTTCACTGACGGGAGAGTTTTATCAAATCAGTCAGGTCTACCGTTACTTCTTTATAAATTCTGTTGCCTCACTCTTGAGGTGAAATGGCTCTTCATGAGAGCTCTATGAAATAAACCTAAGCGATGATCAAACATTTGTGAATTAGTCAAAGGAAGTGTAGTTTGTTTATCACCCAGTCATGTTTGCATAGGGCATATTTGTTTTTGTTGCAGACACCAGACAGAGAATTTTTGATGTGACTCAGTTGGCCAAGCATTCAAATTAATATAAATGAACTCAATACACTTTTTTTTCATCTTACTGTTTTTAACAAATGTCCACTAGGGGGCAGCCTCAACAAGCTGTCAAACTGTAAATATAGATTTGTACATATACTTCAAAAGATCTGCTTTGTGCAGCCCAGTATTCACTTCATCAAATTTTCTTTCTCTTATATTTCACACACTGTGATGCAAATTTAATGTAGAAAGAACATCAATTAAAACCGTAAGCTTTTTCTGAGCAGTCCACCCTGCTACAACCAATTGCGCTTTAAAATTTAAAATCCATCAAATTTAAAACGCACATTACATTTTGATTGTCTGAATATTGTGTGTGTACTGTACAGTCATACTATTTTGTGCGCCTCTAGAAATACAAATAAATCATCACAGTCATTTTTGCTGAGACCAACAGAAATCCAAAGTTTTCTTTGATCTGGTCTCACAGTACACATAACGTTCTGGAACATTTCCCTCAGCCTAATCCAGACAGCATTTTACATCTGGCACAATGAAGATAAAATGACAAACCCAAAACTCACAAACTCAATGAATCTTCCATTTCGGTATTCTCTGACTGATGCTGTGATTCATGATAATAACTGTGCAGTTATCATCTTAATATTGGCTGTAATATATTGCTGCATTGTTACATTGTGGCTGCAATTCTTGCACACTTACTAGATTCATTCCACTATAATTAACAGTGTTTTTTTTAGTGTTATTGATTTACTGTTGTAGTATTTACTAATATTTTGAATAAAATTTTTACATTTAAAATTTTAGTTTAAAGTTTAGCAGTTTTGTTATGTTTCTATTATTTTTATTCGTTTTTAATAGCGTTATTATTATTAATTTGTCAATTTATTTTCAGTTATTTTTTTTTTAAGTGTTTCGGTTTTTAATATTTATATTTTATTTTAGATTTGTTTCAATTAACAAAGGCCATTTTTAATAGTTTTTGTTTTAGTTAAATAACAAACAATTCTGGTCTTTATGATCTACCATTGTGTTTTAATGATGTAAATTGCTATAGAGATCTATATTTAAGGCTTTTCATGATAATTGACTCACCCTGGATTGGTTTAGCTAATGTGTTACAATGGATACATCATCATCATCATCAACAACCTAACAATCAAATCATTAAGGTAATTTTATCTCATTTGAGATTTTACAGTGACCTTACACACCCTGAAATCACTTTTACGTCACTGTCTTGATTCACAGTACTTGTGTCTGAGCATTTGCCGGTCACATTTAGGGACCAGAATTGGGTGTGTTTTTCTATGACGGCAGTCTTCTTGTATGATAATCTGAATGAAACGCTCACCATGCCTGGCTGGTCACCTGCGCAGCTCTCATGGCTCTCTTCTTCTAATAACAGTAATCGCACAAGTGTTCTGCTGGCCTGGCAAGTTCCTACTAAAACCACTCGCTGCTGATGGATCGGAGTTATTAGAATTAGCGCTGAGCTTTGTGGTGATTTATCATTGTTGTTTACATTATATTTCAGCACTGCAGCTTTTAAACTGAAGGATTGGAATAATCAGTTTTTTACTTTCCTGCAGTTGTACATAAGTCATAATAATGTCGCATTCTTTGCTTTGCCGGTTTGACAAAATGCAATTTTTGTCCTTCATTTTTTTTTTAAATGTCCTGCTGTGCAGACAGTGATAGACAGTATTTTGAATGAATTGAATAGTGTATTAAATGAATATAGCACATTTCCCTCTGTGTGTATCACATAGGGTGCGGTTTTGTACTGTACACACTTTCTGTGCCCTAGTTCTGTCTGTCTCCTCAGCTGCGCGGGTCGCTTCTGTCAATACAGTGGTCTCTAAAAAGAGACTAGGCTTTATTGTCTCTCTTTTGTGTTTCACTTTGTGCCTCTTTCATTAGGAGACAAGAAGCCATCTGCCTTAGGACAAAAAGTGCAAGTCTTGCTCATGCACTCACACTGTCTGTGCGCCCCGTCTCCCTCTTCCCTTTTATCACACTATATAACTCCCCAACATCTTTCTTTTGAGTGTATAGCTTAAATGTGTGACTGTTTTTACTTTAGTGTTGGTATTGCAGGTTAGGTTATCTGAACTGGATGTTGATCCTCTAAGCAGTTTGAATTAGTGATAATATAGTTTACATTTTGCAACAATGCATGCAATTAAGCAGTTGAGATATGCTGTACAGTATATATCGCCCTACATGAGTATACTGTAGTACTGTATGCAGGCAAAAGTGGGGCATACTGTACTTATATACAATTTTAGTAATATTGTAGCTCTCATATACTAGCTTTCTAAAGCAGAACAAAAGGGCACTTTGGTATACATACACTATCATGACTGTTTCTTCAATATTTAAATACATGACAAGTAACTGAAATTACATTAAAGTATTTTTTAGTTTACTGTAAATGCTTGTCATTACGAAGAACACGCAGAAGACAGTAGAAGTAATTATGAAATTACACATAAAGATGAGTCCTACTTATTTGGGTCAAAACATATATTGGTTTAAAGTATATTATTTCTATAAAAAATACCCTTTCTAAAAGTATGCTAAAGTGTACTTATTTTTTACAGGGGATGCCAGGATGTCATTTTGTAGGCTAACCAGCTAGTTTGCCATGGGATTTTTATTATAGTGGTTTTCGATGCATGATTCTGTGCTTAACATTACCTGAAGAGACTTGTTTTGTTTAACTACATAAATTACACACAGCCATGTCTCAAAAACCACTGTTGTGTGCTTTAAAAAACTAATTTGCTAACATTGTCTTTGTCTGTCATTCACATCTTCATAAACCTTATTTTACTCATAAACCAAAGACTGCTATTGTAAAACACTATCAGAGGTAATGCTTTCCTCATATATGTTAATTTTAGTACATGTTAATAAAACTCTTTGGTTTTAGGACTACAAACCAAAAAGCACTATATTGATTATATAAATTGCCATTATATCAGCCATCAGCTGCTTTGTGCCCTAGATATTGGCATCGGCTTTGATAAACCCATATTAGTCGACCAGTAGAACACATGTTAACTGCCCTGTACCCCCAGCACACAAAAATGTGTCAGCCGCAATAAAAAAAAACACACCAGCACTTTTTTAGCAATGCTCATACTTTGAGTCAACACAACCCTGACAGTCTTCCACTCACCTCCGCCTGACTTTTCTGGGAAATCGGGTACATCACATCTCTGAATGTGGCATATTTTGAATATGTGAGCAGTAGCCAGGTTGTTTTTCTTCCTCTTCGGCATTCTTTCTTTTTTACTTGTCACAGCTCCATTATTCTTTCCTAATCTCATCATTTTGTTAATTGATGTAATCATGCAAATGACCGGCCACCCATTCTGCTCCGTCAGTTCTGCTGTGTCTGTGAGGTTAGGTGTTCTCATGTGTGTTCTCATGTGTGTTCTACGTGATGCTTCAGCAAATACCCAGACAGTGTTGCTGGATTCGGCATCAGCCTCCTGCTGAGAGGGGTCATGGGCCCCCAGCCTGGACATGAGTCTTGGTTTTGGTGCAACAACAGAAATCCTTATTTACACCCGGTATTTAGTAGCATCCATCTTAGTTGGATGATCCGATGACAAGGGCTTGTGGTCCTGTAAGACATGTTGCATTTTACACCTACACTGTTAAAAATTTCCTGTAGAAATTACAGTAACTTACTGGCAGCAGTTCGCCAGTAACTTACTGTAAATTAAACTTACAGTAAAAATACTGTATTCATATTTACAGTACAATTTAACTTGCTGTAAATGTATTTACAGTATGTGTACTGTACTTTTACAGTTTTTTACTGTAAAATATGCGGTAATTTTATGGTCTTTTCTCCAGTAACATATTGAAATACAAGAAATATATATATATA